GTGTTGAACTTAAGGTTGGATTTACTCGTACTGGCGGAGAGTTACAGATACAGATACGGATACGGATACCTTAAAACTAGTGCACTTCAATCATGTGCATTGTGCATTGTGCATTGTGGATTGTGCATTGCGTTTGCCGAATCGATTGGCCACGCTTCGAGTCCCACCTTCGAGACCTACCATATTACTGATGAGCTCTCCGGCTACGTTTGCCTTTCAGTTGCACGAAATTATAATTTCACCTACAACAATTTGGCTCCTGTTTTTTCATCATCATCATCATCATCATCATCGTGGTGGTGCAAATTTTTCATGGGAATTACATACGTGATAGATTGTTGTATAGCCATCCGTCCCGCCCGTCCGTCTAAGCCCTTCGACAATGGCACAGTTGATTGGTTTTCCTGCTTCTGCTTCTGCTTCTGCTGTGATTGCCATGCCATTGCCATCATATGGGACGTGACTGCCAAGGAAATATGAGCCAGAATGTATCTCAAAAGTATGCATGGAAATGAAGCCTTTGGCTGCCTTGAATGTGCATTAAATTCAGTTTGTTCCTCAACATTAGATCCAAGGAATAACTCCAACTCGAGTAACCATTAAGCAGAGCAAGTTGGAAAATGAATGGCTTGCCATTAGGCAGTCGGTGATCATCAAGTTAACAAGCTTCGGATGCCCAGGCGCCCCAGTGTGGACATGACCCCGACTATCCGCTCAACAGGTGGTACGATGTCCCGGCTCCTACTCAGCGACAGGCTGCCCAGGAAATCCCGCAGTCCCGCAGTCCCACAATCCCACAATCCCACATTTCTTCAGCCCACATGTAAGCACATTTGGCAAATCACAGAACATGCCTCAAAGGCCTCTCGCAGGAGGAGGATCGCTGGCAAATGGCGCCCCAGTCGCCGCAGTGTCGCAAACGGGTCAAGGGGCAGACCAGAAGGCAGTCGTCCCCTTATCGCCGGCAATAGAGTCGTGATTAATGGCCACGGAGGGGCACATGAGGCACAGGCAGCCGTCTGACCACCTACAAATATTTGTTTTCGGGCCTCCGTTCCACTCGCGGCTTTTTTGCGTTCAATTAAAGTTTATGCCAATAAATTGTGTGCCGTAAGTCGCTTAATCCAAATTAAGCGCTAGTATCTGTATCTTGCGCTCAGATCGAACGGCAATCTCCCTCTGCTCACCCCCTCTGCTGCATCATGTGTCATAGCCGAGTTGCAAGGCGCCGACAAAGCTCTGTTTCCCCTTACGATGGGCGCGTGACACGGCCTACAGGCGTCTAGCCTCGGTTCACTCGATGGAGAGCCAATCCGACCATTTCACGAGTTGTCACGCGCCCATCGATGGCTTAAAGACCCAATGAAGGCCAATGCAGATCTGCAGTTCCAGTTTTCCGATTTCCATAAACGACACCACAGAACGACCAGAGGTATCGGCAAGTGCCTGGTCTCTGGTCTCTGGTCTCTGGTTTCTGGTTTCTGGTTCCTGGTTCCTGGATGCCCAAGATTGTGTCTTCAAAGCGTAAGCAATTTTTATGCTCATGTTGCTCGTAATCACCGCAAGCCGCAGGTGGTAAAAGGCGTCGTCGTGGGTAACCCCAGTGCCGTCCGCCTGCCTCCGTGGCAGGGCGCATCTCCCTCGGAGCCGGGCTGCGCTCCGCTGATTGAATTGCACTAATTGCATATTAAAGCTCAGCATTTTGAGGCAACAAATTGCATGAGTAGCAAATTGAATTGCACACCCCCACCACCTGCCACCACCCTCCCCCAACACTCCCTGCCACCAACGGCGGGCTGCCGCTCCTCCCTCTCCGTTTGGCTTTTATTTCGCTTAATTAATTGGCAGCACCAAAAGTCTAGAACGATGCGAGGAAGCTGTCAACAACGAGAGGGGAACGGGAAAGGGGAACGGGGAACGGGAACGTGGAGCAGCCCTCTAGATGGCAACAAAAAGCCGAAAGTCAAGTGTCCTTGGAGAATATGTGGCTTGGATTTTGCAATTCTTTCATTTTTCGGCAGTCCACAGCCAAAAAACGAAGAAACTAATTTTTGGTTCTTCAAACCTTGTTTTATATCCTCCTTTTTGGGGGGCTCTCGTGGCTGAGTGGCTGAGGAAACGCGCCATGAGGGAAGAGCCTCTTGCATGTTGCTCATGCAGAAAGCAGAAATCATAAAGGGCTAATTACAGGGGAGCTTTAAGGTAACTAAGGGTTGGGCTCGTACCAGTCTCTAGGCAAAGGCTGTGCAGTAGTAGCTGTCACTAGTCGAGGGCTAGCATATGAACACTTTGGGGCAAAGAAATGCAAGTAGAAGAAACGATATCCAGGAACCGAGCAGCTCTTTGGGGCTGTCCTAATTGAGGGCTTGTGCCGCCGTCCTGGAGGGTGCTTTTAATACAATTTTTGGCTTAATTAACACAACAAAGCAATGCCAGAAACATGGGAATTTGGGAAACAAGGCAACAAAAGTGTTCCCTATGGAGGCATCTTGCATTACCACCTGACGGGAGATGGAGTGGGGGGGGGAGGGGAGCGAATGGGTTAGGTGTGCTCCCACAATGCCAGAGTCTGCCTCCCCCCCCCACCCCTAAAAAACCTGCGCCCACGACAGACAAAAACATTTATGTTTTCTTTTCATTTTGATATTCGGTTTTTTTTTTTTTGGCGAGTCCCAAAAACAAATGAACAACAAAATTGTATACAAATTTTGTATGGCGCACTCAGAGCATACTTAAAGCCAAATAAAAACACGACTCACAGGCGAAAAAAAGGTGTTCATCAGCCGAGAGAACCGAGAGCATAAATAAAAAAAATGAAAATTCAAAGCCCATGGCTGGAAAGTAAAAGCAAAAGAGCGAAAACTGAAGAGCGGACATGAAGGAAAGATGTGTTTTTCCGATTTGTAGTATATTTGAATGAACAAAGGGGGGCAAGGAGGAAGGGGAGGAGAGTTACTGCATAAATTAATTAGGGAAAGATGGAAACTGCTCGTGAATGCGGTTGAAATTTATCAGTCTGCAACGGACTGTCTGACGGTGTGGCGCCACGAGTACGAGCAGTCGAGCCCCACAAATCATATTCCACTGAATCATGCATGCAACCGACTCCAGCCCGGGCCAAGCGGCGATTTTCCACTTTTCACATGCGAATTATCCGCCTGCTACGCCCCAAACGGATGGGGGAGACCACAGATCCGAAGCAGATCCGAACTTTGAGTGATTGATAGCACGTTATGAGCTAACATGCTATTATTAGGCCACAAGATGCTACCAAGCAACGGCAGAAACGGCAGAAACGGCAGAGCCTGGTCTAACCAAATGTTTGCTCACGACTTTTCGCGGGGCCTTTTTTTTGACATATTTGGCCAAAAGTGGAAAATTGTGCAAGAGAAATTGATTTCACATGATTTACGTGCAGAAAATTTTGAATGTCATGCCGGGGCTGCTGTTCGGGGTGGCCGCTTTTCCAGCTTCACAAATCAATTTTCGATTGCACCACAAAAGATAATCGTATGGTCGTGGCCGGGGCCGGGGCCGGGGCCGGGACTCGTTACCCGGTCTTACGGTATCGGACTGGCGCTAGCCAGTCACGCAATGGCTGATTGAAGGATGCCAAGATCGTAACCAAATCGAAAGTTAACCCAAACCCAAACCCAAAGTGCATATCCATAAATGAATGAAAGAGGAACCCAAAGCAGAGTATTGCCCTAGCGATATCCGAATACGCCATCAAAATCGTATGGATTCACGTATGCCTTATCGAAGTCGTGGTATTTGTTCTGTTTCAAGCCAGAAAAGAGTACACCCCGACGTTGTGCACTGAGAAATGGAGTAGAAAAGACCGCGTTCTAATTAAATTCCACACAATCATTCGGCAAACGGGTTCCAGACAATATCTTCGGCAAAGAATGAAGCAATCAGCCCTTCGGGGCATATCTTCGAGTACGGTGCAAATATCTTGGGGCAATGAAAGTGTGCTATTTCCGACAAGCCCTCTCTTGTTACGAGAAAACAAACTTTGGCCTGGTCAATCGACTAATTTCCTACGACACTTAAACGGCCCGCCCCGTCTCAACACAATGGTAACGGACCGCTAAAGGCCGACTAAAAAACGTTAGAGATAGTCACCAAACACTTGATGAGATTCCAACAGATTCCGAAAAGTGCAACAGCCCCAGAAGACCAGACCCGTCGGGACAGAGACGGCCGCCGTTTAAGGTGACAGCTTGATTAAAATTTCGTACATTTTTCAGCCGCACACTAAAAAGTGAGAGTCGCGTCTGTCTCGAAGACGCTCTCAGAGAAATTATACCAGAGCTTGAGCTTGAGCTTGAGCCGGAGACGGAGACGGAGACTTAACCACGAGTATGCGTAAAAATACTGGTTTTTGCTCTTGCCTTAAAAGATACATATGGTATGGTGTGTGAGCGAAGCGTGGATACCCTGAAAGGCGAGAGGAACACAACGTGCACACGTTTAACCACCATTAAGATGTGCCGCCCCTTGGCAGTGTATAAACAAGAAACTGTCGCCCCAAAAGAGTCTTTAGCCAAGGCGGTATCGCCATCGGCTGGGGCCCGTCTCTGACTAGTGGATCTGTCGATAGCCAGCGCTCGATGGTCCGCTCGGAACTTGGCATGCGCATGCGCATGCGCTACCGTTTTCTTGGCCAGTTGTATTTTGGCTATTAGCACGTACGGAGCTGCGCCCGCGCCTTGAGTCCGAATCGAAGTCCGAGCCAAGTGTGAAAAACATATAAACGCAATATAGAAACTAAAAGTTAATTGAAGTTGGTGTTTAACACACTTTCGTCGGTTGTTTTGCACGAGAGCGAAAGTTGCGTGCCCCCAGTGGAGTGGAGTACACCCAAAAGAACCCAAAAAAAAAGCTATAAAACACGACAGACAATACGGAAAGACAAAAGCGGGTCAGCAGCAACCTTCAATTCGATTCCGATTCCGATTCCATTTCCTGATCTTGGTCTTGATCTTGATCTCAAGATGCCTGCCGCCAGCTCCCATCCCCGCTTGTTCTTCTACCTGCTGTGCGCCGCCTCGCTTTTCGCCGTCTCCAAATCGGACACCGGTAGTACAAAGAACTCCTATTTCACGTCCTATTTCTACTATCTAGCCATTAACTTTATTAATCCGTTTGCAATGCCGATATTCTATCGCTTTGTAAATGTTTGCCTTACGTAAAGTACCGTTAGTGGAATTTCAATATGTAAATATAGCCGATGGATGTACATATGTAAATATCTTAAGCTTGTAAATACCTAAGCTTTTAGCGACCAGCGATCTAAATACTCGTAATATTTGTGATATTTAATATGAGGCACTGTGTTATCTAAACTGTACAATAAACATGTAATCTTTGTTGTTATATATGGAGTGGCCTAAATTAATCATTTGTTTTTCCAGCAGCAGTTCTAGTTGCACTGAAGCACGTACATACCAAAGGCCGGCAAACTTTGAAGACCACCAAGCCAATTAAGTATTGTACAATTGTCGAACAAAAAGAGACGTGCCAATGCCAGCCTTGGACTCGCCCAATACCCGATTCCCCCGCACACGGTGGGGGAGTGCTCTTTCCGATTATCTGTGCTCATAATTACACCACGAAAACATACATCATCTTGGGGAGAGAAGCCACTCTCTCAGCGACTCTGTCGGCTCTCTGTTGTCCATGATCTTGACCACTTGGCTCTCGCTCGAGCGGCTGGCTGTTTCGTCGGTTTCATTGACATCAAAAATCTTTTCGCTTCTTTTGGCCCGAACGACTGGTTTGCCTGTCTCTGTCTCTGTCTCTGTCTCTGTGGCGTTGGCTGGGCTGGCTCCAGTCAAGGTTAATAGTTTAAACTGTTAGGCGCTGCTGCGGGCTACGTCAGCCGGCTGCTGGCTGCTGGCTGCTGGCTGCTGTCTTGATGCGGAACTGTTGGACATGCGGAAGTTCGTGGAAGATGATTAGGCAAACCGTTTGTTTACGTTTTTTGTTACTTTTTGTTGGCGGTTTTGAGCTACTAATCTCAATATAAAACGGAAGTTAGTTGGTGCCCAGAACTCTGTACATATTTACTAATACACCGATGGCTTGGAAAAGGGGAAGATTATCGTATCGTTACACTTCTCTCATGCCACCCCCACCTTAGTGCCGCTGCAGGCCCCGGCCGACGATCTAGCCTACGACGCTGCTCTACAGTTGGGTCTGCTCAACCACCGCCTCAACCTGCTAGCCCATGAAGAGGAGTCGCGGCAACTCAGTTTGCCGAATATAACGCTGAACAATCTCGTGAATCGCATACCCTGTAGCTGCGACACTGGACTGTGCAAATGCTGTGCGGGTGAGTCAAAAGCCGGAGATACAGAGCAAAGGATAACCCCCTCTAATCCACTAGGTTTCCTCGCGGTGATCGGCATGAACAGCTGCACGGAAGTGGCCTACCGTCCGGATGAGTTCTCCTTTGAGCTGCGCATGCGCGTTAACAACAACATTTGGTTCCGTCGAAAGGTTTCCGGACAGAATCCGCCGCCGTTCTGCTTCAGACCTCCACGGTTCAACTTTGCCCGGGCCTGCATACAGTTCCATGACATCTGGTTTGTGGGCCGCAACATGCACGTCTGCATGTACATGTCCGGCGAGTTCCAGGGCTTCGAATTGTTCGAGAGGTGAGAGGGAGGCAGGAGAGTATTAATACATACCCACACCGTCTGTGCACTTGCAGGAACTTTGATTGTCTTCTGTTCGGCGATCACGGCGTCAAGATCGTTCCGCCAGAGCAGAGCTATCCCTCGAGACCCAACGGGGTGGACATCGACGAGGGAGATGACGAGATTGAAGACTACGATGAGAACGTTGTCCGCAGCTTAGCGGAAAAGATGATGGGCTGACCAGCTCGCCCCGACTAAATGTTTTCTTATTTATTTACACAAATTCCCACACTAGCAACTAATAAAATAGAACTGCAAAAGACCCTCAAGGCCCTCACCTGAGAGACAGAGAGACATCTGGTTGTGCGAAAACTGCGAAAAGGATGTGTGGTGCCCCCCCTCTAGACGCCACTTGCAGCCCGGCTGGAGCGCATTCAAGTGCAAAATGCAAAAATGCAAAACAAAGCAAAGAGCAAACAAATTGTAAAGGATAATGCAAGCAGAGGTTGTGCCCTGGCCGCGCGAGGGACTGGGGTTGCGGCTGCACCGCATGTGCAACACGTCGAGCTGAGACCTTGCCTCGGTGTGGCATTATGGACGAGGACGAGGGCAGACCTTTTAGGTTGCATTGAAATGCATATGCACAAGCACGTTGACTGTTGCACTTCGTTTGACTGGCAGTTGACTGTAATAAAGGACTATTTAGGCAGCAACGATGCAAGGATGCAATGCAGGGAGCAGCAGGAGGAGTGGCAGGAGGAGTGGAGTATTATTTCGCACTTGAATGCTTTGAATGCGAGTCAGCCTTTAGTCGAGTGCTGAGCGCGGCACTTGTCCCTGCCACAGTAGGGAGGCCTTTGACGATGCAAACGATGATAATGAACAATGAGCAATGAATGAGGAGTAAGATGGGAGATTAATTGTAGAACGTGAAGTGGCTCTGAAGGTGTGAATACCAGATGACAATGGAAGAGGCTTAATTAGCTTGATAATTAGCTTCACCCTGTCACTCGGACGTTAAGCCTTCAAATGACCAGCTCATTCGTCCATTTAAATGACAATCAAACACGAGTGACCCCTCGGACAGGCAGAGGTGTGAACAAAGCCCTGAAAGAATAGGGGGAACATGTCTAATTTAAAATTCAAATTCACGAAATGCATTTAGCGGCAGTAATTGATTTGTTTAAACAGCACGCACGCAACACGGCAGACACGACAACTGACCGGCCGACTGACCAGGGCAGACCTCATAACATAGACCCGACCCTCAGGGGAGTTACGGCACAATAAAGGGGAGGGCTCGACTGACCAGGACGACCCTCCTTGTTGTCCGGCGCAACAGATGGAGATACAAATCACTTGAGGCTTTGGTCAGTTGATGCGATTTGCAATGATACCTAACGCTTCCCCCTCCCCTCCCCTCCGCCGTGTTTGTCCATTCCCCGAGGTCAATTAGGTTATTTCCGGTTTCATGTGGTCAACGAGCAAAAAAAAAAAAAATTGAAATATCATGGTCAAGTGGTTAGATCCGTGGCAAAATGAACCCCAGGGAACACATACAAAGCGGATTGAATGTTCGCTTCCCCACCACCTCTTCCTGGGAATAGATAGAAAAAAAGGTAATTGAATAGGACACGCTTGGAGGCTTTTATTTCGTCGGCAGGAGACCGGAGTCTCTACCTCTGGCCAGGGTGTGGAAGCATAAGGGATAATTGTTGAGAGCATATGCCTATGATGCATAGAAAAATTCCATTACTTAAAGTTTTGTGCCGCCGACTCTGTCTCTGCCCCTCTGTGTGTCGACAAAAGAAACAGAAAGAGAAAGTAAATTCAAAAACTACCCCCAAAAGTAATTAAAGCCCCCGGTTTTAGGTGGAAGACTGTCGCCTCCATCCAGCCACCAGCCACCAGCAACCAGCATCTAGCATCCAGCGGCGAATGTTAATCAAAGCAGAATATAGAAAAATACAAGGAGACAGCACGGACAGAGACAGAGACAGATACAGAGACAGAGACACTGTCCTTGGGGTTTAATTTCTTTTAAATTTGAAAATTGCGCTTAGAGCAAATGTGGGGTGGGACTCGGGAGGTTCACGTTCCAGACGGAAGATGATGAGAAAATGAGAAATATGACTGTAGTATACCCAAAAAGATAAATACGAGTAATAAGTCCTTTAAAGACAGAGGTTTAACAGAGCAGAAGCCTGGGTCTGGGCCTTCCCATAGGTTCTGGTCAGCTCAATTTTTTGAATGAAAATGGTACCTGCGGGTTCTGTCGAATATAAGGGAAACAAATACTGCGTAAGTCGAGGTACATACACAGCTTCTGTGCCTATGTACAGGCCCATGTACGCGACTTTCATGCGTGATGAGCGTCGAAATTTCCCCTCTTTTGTACATAGGCAAGTAAATAGGTTGGCAGGCGAAGGGAGTCCTCGTTTTGGGGTGGTAATGCTTTCAAAAAGGGTTAAAATCTGTGCCTACTCGAAAAGCGAAAACATGCGTGAGCAGTGGGTGTCTGTGTGTGCGTGTGTGTGTGTGATAACAGCGTTGCCAGATTGTTGAGAGAGTTATCTTTGGGAGCCAAAGCAGAGGTTGGGACAACAATGGAAGGACTAAACAAAGTCATTTACATAACTAACGAAGTGGGAGAACAAAGCACAGAGAGGATGAGGGTGACAATACCTAGAAACCGGGGGAGAGAGCGATGAGTGTTGCGGGGGGAATGCGAAAGGATGCAGACGTGGATGGCGCGTGTTGGCGGTTTATGTGGCCCGAAATGAAAATGGCCACCAGCGGGCATCTTAAATTTTATGTGTCAATTTTTACTCTTTGTCATTTGTTATCATGGAAAGAGGACTCCGTCATTACGCATTCATGCTGGCATCCACAATCCCCTCTCCTTGGTGGCTCTGATGTGGAGCTCGTAATGAATATATTGGCTTCGCACCACCCTCAATCAAAGAACCTCCATTATACAATAGTTTATCAGTAGTTATTATATTTAAATATCCATACACAAATCCAATTTATATGACAAAGCCTAACCACAGGGCCAGGGCACTGCAGCAGATTCTCGCGACCAGATCATGAAAATTATTTAAAGCCCCCCCCAACCCCAAGCGAAAATTGTTTTCGAGGACCGCCAACGACTAAACTGGGAGTGTTTAGGGTATAGGAATTCGATACCGCATTTGCTGATGAGGCAGAACCTGCAGCTGCACCTCCTCCCAGCAAAGCCTGCCAAAATGCAAGGGAGCCAAGGGCACTGCCAGTCAGCAAAGCCAATGTCAGGACCAGCACCTGGAGGAAATATTTAGAGGTGGGTATATTGCAAGTTAAAGTGTATTTGGAGATGTGTTCTTACCAACGGACGCATCATTCTAGAAACTTTACGGGAGTCTTCTTGCTAGACAGCTCCGGGACTGATAACCGGAGGTAACTCGGCTAGCGTTTATATAGAAACGAAATCCTATAATTCCGATTTAAATGCATAGTGAAAATATGATAATGTGAGTCGTAAAACTTTTGCAGAGTTCTATATTCAAGAAAAGTTGATTCGTTACGATGTTAATATTAAGATTTCACACTTCAAACGAGGGGGCACTTATACCCGACATTCAGTCACTATGGCTCCTCTTCGCCAGAGGCCGCACACATTGCACGACGAAGAGTGTGTCATAGATAGAGAGAGAGAGCCGTTGAAAATTTATTTGTTCCTTCTGGCTATAATCATAATACGATCTGATCCAGATTCAGCAATCTGCTAGATATGGTTAATCTGTATGATTCTGCGTTAATTGATTTTCTCGTATCTTTAAATATGTGAATGCCAAAGATTTTCGCCATTTTATTCAGTGTGACATCACAGGAGTCTGAATACAAAATTTCGTTACTCTAGCTCTTATAGTCTCTGAGAATTAGCTGTCGAACTAGACGGCCAGACACACATGCCTCAGTCGACTCGGCCATTGATGCTGATCAAGAAATTATATACTTGATAGGGTCGGAAACGCTCCCTTCTGGGTGTGACACACATCCACTTTCACCACAAATGTAAAATACCCCTATACGCATTCTAAGTATCGGGTATAAATATGGTATAGAAGCTCTAACACCATTATAATGCATAAGTTTCAGGGTAAGACTTTACTACAAATGCAAAGGGTTTTTTATGGATGAACTCTACCACTTTCTTTCGATAAAGCTTGAATCAGATGTTTGAAACCCTATAACCAGACCAGTCAGCATATTTCTACACAGAACTCTTCTGACTTGCAAGAGGAGTATAGAATGTAGAAAGTTTCTCAGTAGCTTCCTTTGGCGATGCAAGATTCGATCTACAATCGGGTGAAAATTGTACCTTGACTGGCATCCGGCGAGGCACCAGAATTCGAGCATCGCTCGAGCTTTTAGCGGCCTTATCAGTGAATCCCACCAGTGAAAACATTAATCCTCCACCTCCATTATTAAATAGTTAACCACTTACAGTTTGAATTGAGTAATTATTATATTTCAATATTCATACACAAATACATTTTATTTCAGAATGTCTAACCACAGCGCAAAGGAATTGCTGGAGATTCTGGCGACAAATTTGAGGAATTAATGTGAGTAGCCAAGCCCCACTTGAAACGATTTTTGGGGAACACCATAGGATAAACCACCGTTCAAACCACCGTTCAAACCACCTATGCCACCCCCTAAGCTACCACCTAAGCCCCCACCTAAGCCCCCGAAGCCACCACCTACGCTGCTGCTGATCGCAGAAGCCCTGGCTCCAGCTCCAGCGCTGGATCCTCCTCCCAGCAAAGCCTGCCAAAATGCTAGAGAGCCCAGGGCACTTCCAGTCATCAGAGCCAACGTTAGGACCAGAACCTGGGAAGAATATTTATAGCTGGATATATGCACATAAACTATATATGGGGCCCCCAACTTACCAGCAGACCTCTCATTTTTGAAATTTTACTTCGAAAATAATTCCACAACTGAGTCTCCGGCAGGCGTTTATATACCAAATAACTCATGCAATGCACTCAAATGCATATTGCATGCATAATGCATGATGGGAATCGTAAACCTTTTAGGAGAAAAGTTCAGTCGTAGCATTTCACACTTATAAATGTCGTGTAGAGCTTTCCAACAATTTCCATAAACCTTTTGACTGCAATAGTATATTAGTATATAGTATATATATATATAGTATATATAAATTGTATCGAAACAATAATTAAGATGTTTTTTTTAGACCTTTACTAATGTGGAAATGTGAAAAGTTTGAAGTCCAATGAAGTTTTATCTACCAATACGGCCTTCTTTCTGCTATGCCAAATACGAACTCAATAGCCTGGTAGTTGGCGCCCTTTCTGGTAGCTATAGCATACACCAGCATATCGTATACCTAGCATTGGAGTGGACCATTTAATTCGATTAGAAATCCGACATATGACACTTACTCTTACAGATGTATCTGAAGTTTGCAAGTGTTTTGTTCTCCAAGCCTCTTCAAGGCAACAATTTGTTTGACGAAAGTTACCGGCCTTCTTTGAGAGTCAAAAGTACCAGAAACTTGTTCCCTAAGGATCGGATTTTCACTGATATTCCATTGACATCTATACTGCTTCCCTGGGGCGCACCTTATGTGGTATTCTCCCATCCCATTTGAGGAAAGAGGACAATTTCTGGAGTAAATGAATCATTTTGTAGCTGAAATAGAAACCGATAGACCTATGGTCGATGGTCCATGCTGAGAAATAATCACGTGTGATTTGGAATGCTGCTTAATTTTATTATTGGGTATTACAATTACAAAGCTTGGCCAAGACAAATGCTAATTCAACCCAGACACTTGTCGTTTCTTAATACTAAAAGATTAATCCTAAGCGTTAAACCATCGGAGCCGTTTTCATTGCAATATCCAATCCAGTATTCGTTGCGGTGGTGAGTGCGGGATGAATCCTCTATCCGAATATATTCAGCAGGGGGTGGATCATTCCGAGTAGTCCCGTTGGGGGGGCCAGCGAGCCGCCGACATCGACAGTGATACTTCCTTCGACGCCTGGAAGCAGTGGATGTGCTCTTGGGGCCTTTACAATCTGTGACCCTACGTTGGCTTGCACTCCTCCACCGAAGCCAAACAAATTGCCCAAGGACCCAAATATGTTTCCGAATGGGTTTATTATAAAGCCTGGCAATGGTAGTCCGAATGGGTTGAGGAATCCCAGGCTCAAGCTTTTACTGCTTAAGACTCCGGTGCCTAAGAGTCCCTTAGTGCCGAAGAGTCCTGTTCCAAGGAAACCCCCGTTCCCAAACCAACCGCCACCACTACCAACACCGGCCCCACCACCCGCAGTCACCTGCACCCCTGGGCCATGGATCCTATTGAGCCCGACAGATGTGTCCAGATTAATACTACCTCCACCGAAGGGAGTGTTAATGCCGATAGTTCTGTCCACAGTAAGGGCACCCCTGGGACTCCTAATGATAGGACCGGCAATGCCTGGAACCGGTACTATATGAGGAGTCGGGGTGGGACCGAAAGGTAGATAAGGATAACCGTTTGGACCCAAAGGCCCGTAGGGGAGACCGTTGGGACCGAAAGGTGAAATAGGTAGCCCATCAGTTCCAATCGGCAGGCCGTTGGGTGCGAGAGGTAGTCCATTGGGTCCAATAAGAACCCCACCGGCTCCAACACGGACTTGCTTTCTATAGAAGGGCTTGAGGTATGTGGGATAATCATACCCTGGAATTCCGTAGCTATACGGGGAGCGTGGATTCTTGATAATGGTTATCAGATCACTTCCTTGACCCACGCCAGCGGAGATCTTACTGTACGGACGATAGTCGCCGATCGGAGAGCCGATGGTTTTGGTCAACTGAATGCCCTTTGAGAATGGCACTATCCCATGGTTGGTGCCGAAAAGTACGTCAAGGTAGCGCAACGGGGCCAAGTGAAGGTTCGCCAGGCTCTGAACTGCACTTTCGCCCTGGCGGGCTAGCTCGGTAATAATGGCATTGGAGCTCCCACGGAGCAGGGCCAGCAGCACGATGAGTATCTGCAAGTATCCAGTTTACCAGGCATTATATATGCAACTATCGTGCAGAGTATCCTACCAATTGTGGAGCCATGGCAGAACTGGAGACTCCGGAGACTCGATGATAGGCCAACGAGACACAAGACTGATATTTTCCGAATTCGGAGGTGTAGTTTTTATAGTCCAACCACAGGGTAATTAGAATATAGATTAGAACTGTGATTTTGCACACTAGACTTTAGAGTTCAGAAACCGTTGGAGGTGTCGTTTTTATAGCTGCAGCGAATTATTTGAATTATTGAACAGCTATTCAGCGCGGGCCCAGTGTTGGGGCAGAAAAAGAAAGGCAGTTGCAGAGCTGCTGACTGCTGCAGTGAGCTGAGAGTACCCAAAAATATGACAGTACACATGGATGGAGGTTCATACAGACACAAAGATGGAAGTGTTTGCAGTCCTCCCCAAAATATTACAGATAAAAACTGTGCCTGAACTTTCGGACAATTCATGGAGTTGAGGGTGGATCCTTGAGCCCTTAGCAGTTTTTAAAGTCTTCCAGATATTTTCATTGTTATTTTCCGAATATTGATGGTCCCAGTTTCAAAATTAACGGCCTTTGACTGGCACGGCCATTAATCGGGGAAGCACTGGAGGAGTCACCGTCAACCGCTCCAGCAATATAAAATGCTCCTAAATAATAAGTGAAGCATAATATATATTTCATATATTTTTTATTGCCATCCATTTGGTGTTTACTGCTAGTCCTGCTAGACTTTTCGAACCTGCAAATTGCTGGTAAATTGCTGCTAAAATACTCGTACATGTAAGAACATGACAGTCAATGACTGAATTTTTATTGATTTGGTAAGTTTTGGAGTTATCCTTAATGTGGCTCGCACACTCCAAACCACAGTGGTGCTCTGGCCCCACCAAAATGTCAAGTTTGTTCAAGGAAAATATTTACAAACCGGCACCTTGGCACTTTAAAGGATGCTCCAAAGCACAAAACAGCCAAAGAGAGGAAAAGCTGAAACACAGATCGAAGTAAACGAATGTAAATAGAAGGTTCGCTTCACCCAGACAGGGTGAGTTTCTTGTTGGCTTTTTTAAAGGATTTCCATTTTGAATAAGATTTCGGGGGTGGACACGAGACACGGGACACGGGACGTCAAGATGCCAACTCCAAATTCAAAGAAGTGACAAAAAAGTTTGAAGCTGAAGTGCGTGAGCTTCACTTAGCGCTCAAGATACTGGCCCACTTGGCTTTGATAAGCGTCAACACCTTTCCATAAGACCAGGACACCGGGCAGCAGGCAGCAAGCACCAGGCACCAGGCACCAGGCACCAGGACGAAATTTCAAACTGCAACATTCGAATGTGTTTTTATTGACGCGCCGCTTGAGGGGGTCCGGATGTGTTGTCCTTTGGGCTTTCCATTCTAATATCCGCCGGTGATAAGTTGAATTATTGACAAGACTCTGGCTTCGGAGCTTCGGAGCTTCGGGCGTTGACCGGCCCTCGTTGATGGCGTTTGCGATGGCGTTGGCGATGTCCTTCTCAGTTTTCCTGTTGGCGGCGGCGTCCGCCTGTTCGCTCCCCGCGCTGGCCGTTGATTTGATTTTGGTCCTTGGGGTTTCGTTTGCCGGCCGCATCTAAAGAAGTCTTGATATCATTTATCTAATAATATTATTTGTACTTGCTTCAGACTTTTATCGACTTTAATTTATGCTGATTGACATAGTTAAATATCTTTGCTGGAGCTGTGCATCCCTACAGGACGAGTGTATCTGCATATGGGTCTTGGAATGGGACTATAATTACCTTTTGTACTCCTGAAGAACCCTATAAGAAGGTAATAATCTAGGAAAGCATTATTTAAAATCAATTTGCTAGACGACCCAAGGCACTCAGACACACCATTTACATAAAACGTATCCTAAACTAATTGAAAGCTGCCCAACATTTGGCCGCACGCATATATCATAAATGTCGGGCCATTAGACCGAATGACATCCTCAGACGCTGGCCAAAGTGCGAGACTGCGTGTCGTATGTAAATTAATACAAATAGAGAAACGGGTACATTTGGCGAGAGGAGCAGACATGCAAAGGACATCAAAAGGGCACACGCAAGAGTTCGAGGACGAGTCCGAGTCCGAGTCCGGGTTCGGGCCCTCAAGTGCTAATAAACTACATGCATATTCCTTCCAAATGCGCGTTAATAATTTATGTGGGCTAATAGACGCCAGGATAAACATCATATGCAGGGCATCCATATCCCTCTGCTCTATCTATCTAAGTATCTGGATATCTGGATATCAATGGTAGCTGAAAGTGAAGGCTGGGGAGGGTGTCACTACCCGCCGAGTCTCTGTCAACGTCAACCCTTTTTTTTTGGTAGTTCCAGCCGTAAATTTATGGGACGTTGTGTCTTTGACCACCAGCCACACCATCGTTTATTGTGTATATTTATATGGAGGGCCCAGCGATGGATATCGGGGCAGGCGATACATTTCGTATTAGCTGGGCAAACAGTGGCCCCTGCTTCTTACCAATTTGTTTGCTTGTTTGCATATCATCGTGCCACACACACACGAAATGTCCTTCCATTGTCTCTGAAATTTAATTAACAAAAGGGTCAATTGTCGCGTGTGGGCGGCGACCTTTTGCCTCCCTCCTCTCAGTCGTATTCGTATTGGAGGGCTGCACGGGCTGGGGGACTCTCCTCTCTTTGTCAGCAAACAATATTTTTGATTAATTTATGAATATTCGTGTGAAATTCCCTGTGTTTTCTATTTATTTATGCCTGCATGGATCAACATTGCGTGCTGCCCATAAAAGTTCAAGTTTAATGAGAGGAATTGTTGGTAATTATACTTTTATCGTCCATAATTGTTATATAAAGATAAAGTAAGGCGCTTTGCAACTAATTGTGGAACTCAAATTCGTTATTTTATGGGGGCTTAATTATTTATGTACTGCCGCTTAAACAGCCCAGAACGGGCTTACTTTGGGCCGATCTAGGACCTAAAAATCCCCACTGTACAAAGGGTATTGCAACAAAATCTGAGCCAACAGAACGGGGATACACTCGGCACTCACTCTCTCAAGGGTTTGTCATGTGATGCTGGCCAAACTATTTCCGAAATCAAATTAGAAGTCTAGAACTATTTCCCACACATCTTTTGAATTGTCATGCCTCTGGGCAAGGCTGCTCTTCTCGTAGGTCCTTCGAAGTTGACAAAAGTTTCGCATTCGTATAATAAAATCAATAAATGGCTTCTGAACTTTGCTTATTGCCTTTTTGTTTGGACTCTTTAAAGTTGTTGGAATTGAATTTTGATTTATTTGGGTCTTGCTGGGAGCTGAGAGCTGGGTGCAGCACTCCTATCTGCGTTTATCTTTCCATTTAAGCACCTCCATGCGGTGTCTGGCCATGCATTTTTCATGACACCTTTTTAAGCCAAGCAGGTCCTGGCCATGCCGGAGTATAAGGATAATAGCTGGTTACTGTTATAGCAGCAAGGCACCACAGCAACCGTCAGCAAACACTGCAGTCGCATCCGACCAAGATTGTACTGGCAGCAGCCAGGCACAGGATACACTCAACGAAGCTGTCGCCTGGATCCTGGACCAAAGCAGAAGTAGCGGAGAGAGGGCAGGACATGAATAATAAATGCTCGAGCAACGTCCAGTTGGAATATGTGCTAAACTGTCAGTAATTGGAGCACTTAGCCATACACAGGCATCTCACAGCCGATTCCCTTCTAAAAGCTACACACAACCGCAGCGAACCCTTCTCCTCTGGAATGAGCTTTCGCCACGGCAATTAACTTTACAAATCGCATGTGAGTCTGTGATTAATTATTCCAAAACCGGACACTCACACCCGCTCGAGCTCGCAAACCGGACAGTTAACCCATTTCGGCCTCGATGAGGGTTGCACTAACAGCTGCAGAAGGGGTCGTTGTGTGCGGGGGTGTGTGCCCGAATTTTTGACATTTCACATTTTTGGAGCACATTTGATGAATGTTTGCTCATAAGGCGTAAATTGAAACTATTCTTGACCATTCTGGACCCGAAACTTGCCCATTTGACCACATGCCGCTTAGCACATGGGTTGGCTAGGCCCCTCCCCCCCACCCCCGCCCGTCACACATGTGTTGCCCCAGAAAAGGGTTCTCCTTTCGGTTTGGTTTTCTTGCCGAGACGTGCCAAAGTTTTGCATTAATTTTGACTCGGTCAACACTTCATTAATCACACCCCACTGGGTGCACGTAGTCCAGCGTCTTGTGGTCAAGGACATGGGCGTGTGTGGGCCAAAAGTTTTATTAGATGCTTATCGCTATATTGAAAATTGGATACACGAGGTCCTTTCCCAATTAATTTACGAGTATATTCCCATTTAAAGGCACGCACACAGCATCCTGTTTGAAATCATCCTGTCCTCCCAGCCCTATCGTGTGTGGCATGCCTCATTCGAATATTCAAAATCCCTATTTTCACGGATTCCTACCTAGCTCTTGGTGAACAGCTGTTGGCCCATCTACAACCAAAAAAAAACAAGACAAAAAGGGGTAACTTGGGGTTGATGACCGTGACAGCACATCCCTTTAAGACCGAAGCAGATGATGCAGAGAAAGGAAACAAGGATTAGGCTGCATGCAGTATTCAAATCGACTCTGATTGTCGTGTATTATTTCTAAGAGCTAACTTCTGTTAAAGTGTTTGCCCCTGCCCTGCTTTTAATTTTAAGAAAAAGTCAAAACAAACGCAAAAAAGTGCATTTAACAACTCAAAAAGTGGGAAATCTCATTTTGCCTGGAGTGGAAAAAGCGAACAAAAACTTATTTAAGCCTGTTATAGTATGTGTGCGTGTGTGTGTGTCTGAGGCAGCATCCTTCTGTATCCTTCATCATTTGCAGCTCCGTTGGTTCCTGCCGCTGCCGCTGCTGCTGCTGCTGATGATGAAGAGGTACTACAGCTGCAATGTGAACTCTGTGAGAGAAAAAAAAGAGAGATCCCCCGTCCCGTTTTACATGCAAAAACAACAACTGCCTTGGGATGCCCCTTAGTTTTTCCAGTGGAGTGGCAAAAAGTTAATGGATTGTTAGCTTGCGGTTTCCTTGGTATCTGCAAT